ATGCAAGAAAATTTAAACATTTACATTACCTTAAATATTAGATTTGGACTCTTGTGACTCCTATAAAAGATTAGTTTTATCTTTTTCTTTGACAAAGTCTGAATGATAGAAAAAGATAAATAAAAAAAGAGAACCTTTTGGACCTAGAAGAGAGCCGAGTTACATTTGAAAGAATAAGAAGAAAATATCCGTGACAGTGCTAGGGTGAAAATAAGAGGGTACTGTACCATATTCATGTAATTTGAACAAGCTAATATTTGGCTCATATTGTTGAATTTGTTGATTATATAAAATGGTGATTTTGATAAATATATGAAGACTTGTTATTCCATGATTTTAATGAATGTCTTTGGTTTTATAAAAAATAAGAAAATAATTCTGGACTTTCTACAAAGCCACAGAAACTTACATAACATGCAAAGCTTGCATATAAACGAGTCTGGAGAACATCTTAAAACCTTCGACATAAAATTCATAAAAACCATGAAAAATATGTTGGTTGATAAGGAAAATATCTTAAATATAGCTTGTTCCTAGAGTGGGTAGAAACCTCTGACAAGGCAGGCAGCTCAAAACCCAGGAATGCAATTAACTTATTCTGGATATTAAGTACTTCTCACCTCACCTGTCTACAGAGTCCAGGTTAAGCCAAGAGCTTCATACAGTGCAATCACATGATTAACTATAAAATAATCAACCAAGTTCAAAATATCACATCCATGTATATAGCTAACATCTGACAGCTTATTTTCTATCATAATTCACAGTAGAGAATAAACTGTTCAATGTGAAAAACAATGGGTACTGCATTTGTTTCTATGCTTCCAAACTTCAAGGCATGCATCTAACACACTTTCACCAACACTCCCACTAGAAGCCAAAGTCAGCTTAACACTAGTAAGTGGTAAACAAAGCTATGGTGAAACACCTTGTTTTATATAATGACATACAAATCATTGTATGTCCCTTAAAAACTCAAGGTAACATGGAGTTAAGGATGAGGATGGAAAAAATAAGACAGGCTGAGAGAAGACACTATTTTGTGTGTGTGTGTGTGTGTGAATTCTGTTTGGCAAGATTCTGTAAGCAAAGTTCGGCTGCTTAGCTTATGGTTTAAAGACCACACTCCTAGGCAACACTGTTTGTAGTACCATCATATATCATAGTAAGGAGGAACTAAGTGCCTTGCCACAGACCATAGTGATAGCCCGTAGGTACAGTCAACCCCTCTCATTTTTTATCCATCATTCTGAGCCAGTGAGCCATGCCATATTTTGTACAGTTAGTTGTGTACTTGTGTGGTACAGTACTAATGATTCAAACACTATGAATGACCTTAACATCAGCTCTCATTAACATATTATACAATGTCTCCCTCTCCTTTTTCCACAGTCAGAGCTGTGAACTGACAAAGACTTTATTAACATTTCTTTTTCTCTATAAATGTTTAAGTTTATATCACCCATTGTTTAATTTATGGAAAGCTCTTGTATAATACAATACTGAACCATAAAATGATCAAGACACTAAAATCAAGACAATCATAGAGGTAAATTCATTGTCACCATGCAAAAAATTCAACTGACCAGATAACTGCGCATCATTACATGGCTCAGTGGTTTCGGCACAGGGGGTTCAAAAGCTCCACTTGGACCATGACTACAAACCTGCACAGGTCACATCAACTTTATTACCATGGAACCTAATAAAGGCTTGTAGTTATATTATAGTAATAAAAACAAGGAAAAATTATCTTAAAAGGTTAATGACCCCTAAGAGCACCCCACCTAAACTCTCAATATCAATCTGGTGTCATATTTGATTGCTTTAAGCCTGAGGATGGTACAAAACACAGGATATCCTGAGCTACAACGAGACTTTTAGATTTTCATAGTATATCATGATACACGAGATACTATTGCCCAGAGACGTTTAACCACAAGCTAGGCAGCTGAAGATCTGCCTCAATAATCTTATCAAGCAAAATTTTTTTTTCCTGAATTCGTGATACTCATGAGTTTGGTGCTGTAACCCACCCACTTAAAAATAGTTCATACATATATAAAAAATGAAAATGAAAGAAAGAGGAGTGAACTGATAAAAAAGAATATAAACAAAAATAAAAATACACAAAGACTGACAGATAACCATACATGGACTGTAAATAGCAGAAAATTATAAAAGACTGATGCACAAATTGGCAGGTAAACTTAACACAAACAGAGAAAAAAATACCCCATACACCAACTATCAAACTATCAAAAAGAGTGAGAGAAGGAGAGCAAAAAAAAAAAAAAAAAAAAAAAAAAAAAAAAGAGAGAGAGAGAGAGAAAAAGAGAGCAACCACCAACGCCTTGAAATTTTTTTTGGATTTTCAGTTATACTGTTTTAGAATAATGCAAATATTCAATCCACCAAGTGAGTAGAGTGGTGATATGGTCATTCTGATGGTCACCTAGGGTCACCAACAGTACTAAATGATCCTCACAGACACTTAAGTCATAAGAGACATCTTGAATGTGGATAATCAAATAATTGGGGAAAAATTTAATACAAAATATTTGCAAAAAATGTTTGACTTTATCTTCGTTTACCTTGTAAATGAATACCGTCCATCAGCAAAGATAGGTTGTGAGTTACGAAAAGCTGTGAATAAGTTACCCGAACTGAGTGCATTAAGTGGAGTGATAATAAAGACAGCATTGTGTTGCAGCACCAGCAGAAGCATCAGCAGCAGTTGTGGCTTTTGGGAACACTGTAAAAATTTTATTTAATACTAATCCCTTAATTATGATTCTTACTATTGTTAAGAGAGAGCCTCAGCATCCAGTACATCCTCTTTCTTGTATATGCTCTGTCTGTTTATCATTAACTGAGGTGAATATGACGTACGCTTTGCTTAAGAGCTAATGATAGATGCGCAAAGTTCTGATAATGAGCAGTGTACATTGAATGTATGAATCTTTTGCAAGTCAAAATTTTTCCATTTGTTTCCCAGCAATTCTATACAGATTGTGTCTCTGAACTGAATAAAATCATCTGGCATTAGCCAAATAAAATACAAAGAGTGGCATCCCCATAGTGAAGGGGTTAATCATCTTCCTCAACAGTATGTTCTTCTCACGTCACAACCTCCTTTATCTTGGCAATGGAAACATTTAATGGCCAGAAAAATATTCTAATGCCTTGTCTTATAATTTCTATTAGCTCAAACTAGCCCCTTAAATATTCACTATTTGCAACTCCTTAAAAACCAACGACTGAGTTCTCCTTCCTTTCACACAAAATATTTTTAAAAATTTCCATAAACTTCCATTACCTGTCTACATCTCTTAGGCCATTCTTAAGTGTAAGAGATGGGTTGCTCAATGAAACCCAAGCTATCAGTATAGTCCTCTATCAAGCAATTTTCCTTTACATAATTATTGCCTAAATCAATCACCATGTAATATTCTGTTTTCCTCTAATCCAATCACAACTAATCATAGTTCTATAATCTTTGTCTCCACATGTCCTAACTACCTATGTTAATAATCTATCATAGAATCAAACATCCACCCCCTTTAGATGATTACACATCTTTTATTATGAAGTTCCTCATTCTAATAACTGAACATCCAATCAGATAATCCATTTTAGCTGCTTCACATCATCCTGAAATACTACACATGCTCTTCTCTATTTGACGACTTTTTAAAACAATCCATAGATGAAAACATTCTTCATCTTTCCTTCTACTCTTATATACATCATGCAGAATGGATAAACTCAATTTTACCACCTAAAAATCTATTTCAGTGAATTTAGAGGAAAACCAGATACTGAAAAGCAAAAGAAATCTACATAATATCTATGCACAACTATACTCAAATAATCAATCTTAAGTACTCCTAGTGCTACATGGCTACAACCTAAGGGCTGAAAACTGCATATGATAAATATTACAGTACTAGCAAAAGCTAATCCATTCCACTACAGTACAGGTATACAAAATCAAATAGAGCTAACTTGACAAAATAAATTAAGAGCATAAACAACTATGCACAAATAATAAGGACGCTCTGCCTAAATAAAAGAACTAATAACGTTTTGATGGAATGCTGTACTGGTAATCTCTATTAGGACTCAACCCCCAGATCAACAGAGCACATCCAAGAACGGGATAACCGGAACATGAAGCAAGGATGTTTTGCCATTTGATATCAAGTATTTTTTTACAACACATATCATTTACAGTACTACAGTATTACTAGTAATATGTCTAACTCAAAGTATAATAAAATGTATATACAAAAAAGACAAAAATACTTTCAATTGTACCGAGCAATAAAAAAAAACTACCTCAGAACTTGAAATGGTCCAATTTCAAAGTAATCTTCCCATATTTATATATTTTTTGGTATAATTTCAAAAAGGAATCTATGATCGGTTGATATTATTCACATCTGAGAGGGCTGAAGCTGATATCTTCTTTAATAGTTTTTCAAGAAAACCTTTTCAGTGTTAGGGAAGTCAGATTTTTAATGTTCATTGTCAATGATAGATAAATAAAGTACCATGGTGATATTGTTCAGAGGTATGCTTTAGACCATTATATATTCCCTTAAAGCCATAGCTGGCATGCTGTGCAAAACTATTAGCTTGAAGTGGACACTTACACTGTCCGCTGCTCTGCCATATAGCTGCTGCTGAGGCTGGCTCATACTATTCTGGTATTTTGGTGCTACAACTCCACCCATATATGGTGTTACACCACTCATCACTGCTGCTGAGAAATTGGGAGGGAAGAATACTGGGGTGGCTTTGTGGTGTTCTAGGGGTGAAGGCTTGGGGTTGCGTACCAAGGTTGGATATTGGTAGTATGAATTATTTAAGGATAAAGGCTGCATCAGAGAGGGTACAAACTGAGGATCAAACTGATTAACTAGGGTGGCTGTGGAATACATCATGTTAGGATGATGTGGAAGACCAGGATGTGGTGGCAGCACATGAAACAGCACCTGGCTTGCATCACTGGCTACTGTAGACGATGACTGGGACGCTCCGAGTGGTGGAACTGACGACACAACCCCGGGTAGAGATGGCACCACTGATGGTTGACACTGTAGTGCTGCTGGCTGAGATGCTACTAATTCTGGCTGGGAAAGTGGACCTCCAGTTTGTAGTGCTGAAGCTCCCGGCTGTGTTAGTGTTACAGTTGACTGAGAAGGCATCAACCCAGGAGTTGATGAAACCTGTGAGGGGGCTACAGATGGCTGACTGGTTGAAACGGATAAATGTTGCGATAACCCTAAGTGGGATTGTATAACACCAGGCTGTGAGGTTGTACTGCTGCTAGGAAGAGTTGAAGAAGCTGACTCAGGAACAGATGTTGACGCTGCTGATGGCTGCACTAGAATGGTTGATGACTGGGATGGTACAAGGGTTGGCACTATGCCTGACTGTGGCATTACAGTTTGCACCATCTCAGATGAGCTACCCTGGGGTGCCATTACATTTGGCTTACTCACACTAGAATGAATTAGTGATTCTGTTAGACTTATTGCAGGTGCTTCCACTACACCTGCAAGTGACTGAGAAGTCATCACTGCCTGTGATGTTGCAAGTGGTTGAGAAGCTATCACTGACTGTGAAGATACTATGGGCTGTGAAGCAGCCAATGGCTGTGAACCAATCACTGGCTGTGGCACAATTACTGGCTGAGAGACAACCAGGGGCTGTGAACCAATTACAGGCTGTGGAACAGCCATGGACTGTGAAGACACCACTGCTGGTGGAGCAATCAAACACTGTGAAGCTACCATTGGCTGTGAAGCTATTACTGGCTGTGTTGCTGCCACTGGTTGAGATGCTGCCACTGGCTGTGAAGCTGGGACTGGTTGTGAAGCTACAACTGATTGAGATGCCACATGTGACTGTGACGATATCACTGATTGTGGTGCAATTCTAAGTTGGGGTATAACCCCTGATGTTTCTGATGCCATGGCTGTTTGCGATAGATTCCCTGCAGCCTGAGGAAGTATTGCTTGAGAGTGAGAGGGCAATACAGCCGGTTGGGAAGAGAGAACCTGTGGCTGAGATGAGAGAACAGTCGGCTGAGAAGGAACCATGGATGGTTGTGATAGAAGAGCTGAAGGCTGAGGTGGATGTACAAGATGTTGGGAAGACAAAGGTGGCTGTTGTGATGCTACTCCAGAAAGCTGGGACATGACTGACACCACTGGAGTTAAGTGTTGAGACAAGGCCACTGAAGGCATGGAAGGTACCACCATGGGACCTGATGCCATCACCAAAGAATGGCTTAGACCTGCCATTGGCTGAGAAGCCATAACTACAGGAGTTGCACCAATAATCATTCCTTGTGATGTAAGCACCTGGGGTTGTGGCATCCCCATAGGGTGCTGGGATGTAATTACTGTAGTTCCACTCCCAACTGGAACCTGTGAACTAATGTAATATTCTGACTGTTGTTGCTGATGTTGCTGTTGTTGCTGCTGGTGTTGTGGATCTACCTGCACTTGTGAAGATTGCTGAGAGGTATGCTGGGATGACAGCTGGGTTGGCTGCAGTGAGGTTGGTTGGTATGCAGAGGTGGGCAAGTAGCTCTGGGACACTGAAGTACTCCCAGTAGTGAGAGTCTGCTGGTACTGAGACTGGTAACTAGAACTTACTGGTTGGTAGTGTGAAGAACTACTTTGGTAGGTCCCAAACCCAAAGTTGCCACCAAAGTACTGCCCATCCTAAAATAAAAATAACGCATAGATAGCAACACTAGTCTGCTTTCTACCGAAGAATTAATATATTTTTTTACATCTGTCTGCAATGTTACAGCAATATTCCCTCATCTAAATGTAAAATAATAATGATGAAGAAAATAAGTATCTTTCAAAACTTTTTGTTCAGAACAGAACCCCCCAAAAAATAAATAAATAAAAAGTAAAAAAAAAACTAAAAAAAAAGATCCCAAGGGGGGCAAACTCCAAAACTTTAAATAAATACAAAAATCATAGTGACTTAACAGCATCATCTAATGTTTTTGTGTTATTATGGGATCCCAATTTTTTCCATGATTTGGCTACCTGCGACCCAACGACAAAATGCTTACATAAACACTACTTTCTCATTGTTTTGAAGATAAATCAATGAATCCATAAACATACACAAACTCTTTATCACCATTAGTGCTGTGTGGCAAGTAATAATAATAATAATAATAATAATAATAATAATAAAAATAATAAAAATAATAATAATAATAATAATAATAATAATAATAATAATAATAATAATAATAAAAATAATAATAATAATAATATATAATAATAATAATACAAATACAGTAATAATAAAATAAAACAAAAATAATAACAAAAAAACATAATTAACAGTTTATTGAAGAAAGACAACAGGAAACAGCTGAAAGTATACAAAGGACATGTCACCAACTCCTCCACTGTGGTTTTCCTCCAGGGATTACTCGGGAGTTCAACCCATTTCTTGTTTGTTTAATGTTATCACGGAATTATGACAAGTTTTTTGTCTGTTCTCTCTTTGCACTGTGTTTATTACCAAGGTAATTCATCTTTATTGTCTGAGGGGATTTGAGAAAAGTGTTGCTTTATGTTGAATGGAATTATGAGAGATCAAATATATTGAACACCTACAATACAGGTATATTCTAAATAATCCTTGAATTAGTGATATCTCTGTTAGACGGAACAATTTGTGCAGAGCACTTCTGGGAATGAGAGATTTCCGGGTAATGAGACGACTCTCTCTCAATGCTGGAAAAAATCCCTCAATCCCAGAATTTTCCGTGATTTCCAGATAACGGACAAATGTTCTCAGAAGTTCCAGAAATTGCCTATTACATCATCTCTCGAACCCGGAAAAATATCCCCCATCCCCGGAATTTTCCTGGTATCGGCAAATTTTTCTCGGAATTTCCGGGAAATGCCCCTGATTTTCATCTCTCAAACCTGGAAAAAAAATCCCCCATTCCTGGATTTTTCCGTGGATCAGGAAAATTTTCTTGGAATTTTCCGAGAAAATTCCAATTCCAGCTATCGGACAGTTTTGGGTTTGAGGGATTCCTGCTAATAGATATATTACTGTAACATCAAGATGCTACTATAAACCCACCTGTGTGAATGCTTGCTGACTTTCATTTCCTGAAGTCAAGGTGTAATACCCGGATTCCCGCACACCATCTACTGTGAAACAATAATCCCTATTAAAAGCACTGTACTGTATTGTGTTTGATATACAGTACATATATCACATCATACTGAGACAAAAATAAATACCAGGAAGCTACAGTAGTTTCTTTAATTATTTACTATATACCGTACTCAGTTGGATTTCACACCGATATTTCAATTTAAAATACCAAACAGAACAAATACAGTACCTTGTTGTTCTGAAAGTCCATCCCCCACTATTGACTGTTGAGAATCCTGCTGAACAGTTGGCTGCTGTGGAGGCTGCTGCTGCTGTTGTGCACTAGGCTGTTGTGGCTGAGCTGACTGGGGTTGCTGTGGCTGTTGTTCAAGTTGGGTTGGTTGTTGTTGTACTTGTGGTGTTTGTTGTGGCACAGTTGACTGCTGCTGGACTGAAGTTTGTGTCTGTAATGTTGGTTGTTGCTGTGGTTGCAACTGCTGCTGTGGTTGCAACTGCTGCTGTTGTTGTTGCTGCTGCTGTTGTTGTTGTTGCTGCTGCTGCTGCTGCTGTTGTTGTTGTTGCTGCTGTTGTTGCAGCTGTTGTTGTTGTAACTGCTGCTGTTGTAGCTGCTGCTGTTCCTCCATCTGCTGTTTCTCTTTCTCCCTAAGGTCTTTCTTGCGGCGTTCTTCACGTTCCCGTTGGAGGTTATGGATTTGAGTTTGTATCATTTTGGCTACTGACCTTTCATCCTCTTCAAATATCATTTCCATTTTAACCTTAAAAAGTAAATTACCATATTAATCACAAAGAATCACATCCCTGGAATGATTAAAAACACTAAGGTGTTAACTCTGCCTGATAATGTATACTGTACTAAATTAACTTAGTGATACATTCCTCTATTTACGTAAAATTCCTCAGTGTGTTTACATGTACAGGTAGAGTATAGGTATAAAAGTTTCTGTAAAAGTTACTAACTTGACTAGAAGACAGTGAAATTTTACCAATTCCAGTGTGAGAAGTAAAAAAAAAAAAAGAATCAAGATATGTAGAGGTTCACACTAGTGACCACTTTTTGGATAAGAAGTATGATTTGTAAGTGAAGACAGAGGATGTGAGACATTATTCTAGCATGTGAAGTCACCCAGCATGAACAGCCCATGTTAGTAAGGAATACAATAATTGATAGACTATCATGATGAAAAGTATTAATACAGTATCAGAATTGAAACCTTTGGGTAAAATTAGGAACAAGTCTGTCAGAAGTTGCTCATTAAACTTCATATGACTTCAACAATCCCTCCAACATTATACACACAGTAAGTGGACTCAGTTACTTACCATTCCTTCAGCAATCATGTCTGGATTGTCATTTTCTATGTCAAAGTCAAACTGGATGGCCTCATTTTCTTTATGTTTATCTTTTCTTTTCTTTGCATCAACTACCCGTAACCTGTTAAAGGGAAACAATTACAGCCACAACAAAAATACCAATTAACCCTCTCGAGCACGTAATAGGTTTTTAAGTTTCTGTGACCACGAAAAAAGGTTGTCATAAAGGGACCTGTCACCACCACTCAAGTGCAGTCTGGGCATTTTCATTTTGTGACCAATTTAACCCACTTTTATTTTTTTTACATAATTTATGCATCACTGGCTTTGTTATTGTCTTGGCTTTAACATAAGCCATAAAATAAATAAATAAGAAAAAAAATACTGCTGTATATTTATTCACTCTGAATAAGGAAATAATTTGGGGGTTTCCCAACCTCGTAACTCGGACATTTTTTCACAAATCTACCAAGTGTATAATAGTCATAGAAGCCACATTTTATTAGCTTTCCAAAGGTGGCTTTAAAATTGTTATATGTCTAATAGTTTTGTAGACCACTTTATAGAATTAATAACAGCAAAAAATCACCAAAATCTTTATACTTTTTATATATTTTTGTACCTATGAGGTTTATTTGATTAAATTTTAGTGCATTGCATAGCTTGTAATGTTAGGAAGAGAAAGGTGGTTCTAAATATCCTGTAGCACTTATCTTTATCATATAATCAATTTTGGAATTTGGTGGGCTAGCATATTTCCAAGAGTCTCACTCCCAGCCACTCACTCTCTCTCTACATTTCTTATGTTTGTTATGTATATACAGTAATCATAAAGCATGAATTATGCATATATTCAGTTATATAAGTAAATTTAAAAATAAATTTATAAGTATAAGGTAGTGCACCTTCTATATAAACATACTGTACGAGGTCTGTCCGGAAAGTATCCAGCCATTTACTATTAAAAAAATATTGCTTACCTAGGACAATGCCACCTTAGTCCCCTTCAAAGTACTCCCCTTGGGACCTCACATACTTCTCCCAGTGTCCCTTCCACTTTTCAAAACAGTCTGCAAAGTCCTCTTTCGGGACCTCCATCAGCTGCCTCTTCGCATTCTCCTTAATCTCGTCCACGGTCTGAAATCTCCTCCCTTTCAATGGTGATTTTAGCTTTGAGAAAAGCCAGAAGTCGCAGGGAACCAAATCTGGGCTGTAGGGGGGCTGAGAGACCTAGGTGATGCGACGTTTTGCCAAAAAACCCTGCATGAGACGTGAAGAATGGGCAGGCGTGTTGTAATGATGAAGCTGCCAGTCACCACTTGCCCACAGCTGCGGTCGTTTTCTTCATACCGCATCCCTCAGCCGGCGAAAAACTTTGTTGTAGTACTCCTTCGTTATTGTTTGGCCTGGACGAGATTAAGGAGAATGCGACTAGGCAGCTGATGGAGATCCCGAAAGAGGACTTTGCAGACTGTTTTGAAAAGTGGAAGGGACACTGGGAGAAGTGTCTGAGGTCCCAAGGGGAGTACTGTACTTTGAAGGGGACTAAGGTGCCATTGTCCTAGGTAAGCAATATTTTTTTTAATAGTAAATGGCTGGATACTTTCCGGACAGACCTCGTATAGGTCATAATTATATATGATCTATATATGGTGGACGTGGTGGTAGGTACAAGCTGCTTGCCATTCTTGCTCTGTTTTCCAAATTTTGTTTCCTTGGCACCATCACCACCACTTTCACTGTAACGGCTCGATAATCCTTTGAGGCAGAAAGCAATTTCCTTGTCTCCCAGAAATTTTCCATGGTAATGAACCTTGCGAGACGTGTTCCAGTATTGTGTAAATGAATTTTAAAATTTCAAATATTTTCTGTGAATATAAAAACATTATATGTACAGACATTTAAGTCACTTGAAAAACTATTTCAATAAAAAACATCACTGTATGCCAAACGTATAGTGGATGTAATGGGGAAGGTTTGAGTGGTGTTAAAGGGACAGATGTAACCAACCAGCTTGGCTGTTGGGAGAAGACTGATAAATAATTAACCCACACTTTTCTCCACCTACTTGGTGGTACTTTCTGGAAGCTTGCCATGTGAGGTCATGCAGTTATCTATGATGCAGGAAAATTTGACCCGATTACCTTGAAAAAATTAAATTTGGGGGCACATTTTTGACAAGTTTAATGATGCGATTCGCATCACTGATGCAGTTAGTGCTATGCACTAATATGATGTGATTCGTGTCATGGTGCGCGAGAGGGTTAACTATGTCATCATTAAATATTTATACCATTTTCTAAACTTTAAAGAATATTATGTAATACCAACAAACTGTTACTGAATTTGCTAAAGTTAAGATAACACTGTTGCTAAAAAAATATATAAAAAAAAATTCATTAGAATGAATAAAATTAAGCTTCAATTTACATGAAAGAAGGCTGTTGCTATTTGCTCTTACCTTAAAACAACTTTTCCTAAGTCAGAAGCGATTGCTTCCTCTTTATTTCCCAAATCAACCTTGATGCCTGTGTCCTCCTGGAAGAACTCATGATTCAGGAGATCTTTCACTGTTGGTCTGTAATGAGAAAAAATAAGAAAAGCATTGTGGTAATTATACTGCATATGAATGAAATCGTGCTATCATATCACAGAAGAAAATGAACTAATACAATGAGTAAACCAAATTTATGGCATAAATAGAAGCAAGAAATTATTACTCAGAAGATACACTGAACAAAAGACAAGTACATATTAAGTGATATAAAGTTCCCTACATGTCTCCCATAGATCCTCTGGAGCCTAGACTGGTAGTGGAGCCCATGCTTGAATGAGGACTGGAAGCGAGCATCCGGTCTAAAAGAAACTTGCGTAGGGACCAGTTCTTTCTTGGACTCTTCTGTGGACTGGGAGGAGAACCCCCATCCATACACTGAGAGCACAGACATGAACTGGATGGCAGGCTTGAAATATTACTCTGAGAATCATCACTACCACTGCCAGCAGATGAAAGCTGAATCACAGGTACTGGAGGTGTGCGACTTGGTGTTGGCCAAGAACGTGATGGCTCAACTGGAAACTGGGATGGCTCAAACTTTTCATTCTCCTGTAGTGTGCTTGTTGGTTTTACAAAGGAATCAGGAGATTTATCAGTCATGACAGAATATTGCTGAGACTGATCAGTTTGGGATGAATAAAGTTCACTATTTCTGATGCTTGAATTAAATGATGGTGGCGAGTCAATTGGATCTTGTGCGAGCCGATAAAACACCCTTGGACTCTGAGGTCTACTCTGGGGATATGGGGTTGATAACAGAGAAGCAGGGTACACAACTGAAGGTTCATTATCACTAACAGAAGCATAACAAGGCTGCATCTTCCTTCTTTGCTGTGAAGACTGGTAAGAAGCATTAAGATTTTCTGGTATGCTGTATGGATAACTGGTGGCATACGAAGGTGGCGAGTATCTCACAGACTGTACATTTTCATTATCGGCAACAAATATAGGCTCAGTATTTGTCAGTTGACGGGGAAATGGACAGGGTAACCGAGGGCTCCCCTGTCTGTTGCCTGGATAATAGGTTCCATATGGTGATAATGGAGCACTTGCATTAAGTGGCATATTTCCATTAACAGAATCAAGATCAGGTGTTTTCCTCGTAGTCTGAGGTAATGGGCATGATAATTCTGAATCATCTGGTCTACCTGATGAGTAAATAGTAGACTGGGGTGAAGATAAAGGGTACATAATTGGTCCAAGAGGTACACACCCAGCAAACTGCAAGTCTTCACTGTGCCTTAAATAATTAGGCTCACACTGGTGATAAGGGGGGTGCCTTAAAGGCCATGTAGCAGAAGAACATTCATTCACTTCTCTGCTACATCTATTTACTGCACCCTGCTCAATATTCCGACACTCTACAGCATATAATTCTGTTGTGCTAGATACTGTATTAACATCTACAGCATATTTCTCAACATAATCACAGGCAGGAGGTGAAGCTGGTACTGGTGGCCACACAACACAGTTATGAGGCATGTAGTAAACTGCTTTACAAGGCACAGGAATTGCAGTTGTGGTACCTAAAGTTGTGTGGTGTACAATACCAGTGTGTGATGCACTGCAAAGATTAGTTCTCCTGTCTGAGGAATTAGGAAGCTGAGGACTTGGCGGAGAAGAAAACCATCCTAATGACCTCGGACATTGCCTCATTTGTTCTCCTGTAGTTTCTTCTGCTCCTTTCTTCACCACCAAAGCTCTTCTAAAGTTACTTTCACTATATACTTTCTTAATGATGGGAGAGTAATGACCTGGACAATGTGAACCTGTATTTCTTGTAAAGCTTGTTAGGTTGTCAGCACTCTCAGCCCTCCCTAGAGAGCCTCCTAAGTCCTTCATCTCATACATCATGAAAATTTTTTCTTTCCTTCCTTTAAAAACGAAAACTGATTTTCAATAATGCAGACAGTATTGATAATTTCTACTTAACAGGTTCTAACAAAAAACTAGAGGAGTAATCTAGATTTTTTCTTTGTATTTTCAAAACAAAACATATGTTTTCATTTTCTTAAGCCCAAGGCTTCTGGTGAGCTGTGAATCCTTTTCTTGATTTATAAATGTGTCATGGACAACTTCATCCAACTCTCATGTTTTACAGTATATTGTTGTTCACTGTCAGACACTAGATCACGGGAGCGACATTCACTACCACCGCACAACACAGGGGAGCTGGCTCAACAACACCCACCTTTACACCCTGTCCCCACTTCAGCCCGACACCTAGACGACGACATAAACCCAGGGAGTTGAATTACAACAACATTCCTTCCTTCTTAGATATAACAGCAAAGAAAATGCCTTTCTAAATATATTTACCATTGGAATGAAATCCTTAAGTCAAACTGAACATGTCTAGGTAATCAAAACAACTCCCAAGTAAGGCAATAAAACATACAACAGAATATCAATATATATATATATATATATATATATATATATATATATATATATATATATATATATATATATATATATATATATATATATATATATATATATATATATATATATATGTATGTATGTATGTATGTATGTATATATGTATGTATGTATGTATGTATGTATGTATGTATGTAAAATATTCTGATAAAAGCAATCTACTAAGGTGGAGAAAGTGAAAAATACAAACAATAAGAAGTAACTCATTACTTATTGCTGATAAACACAAGGATAAAACAAAAGAATTAGCAGTTCCCAAGGACACAAAAAAAAGGTTGAGTCATCACCTAGTGTGGAAGTGTTTCATAACAACCTGTAGAGCCAGTTCCTTCCGAGACACCCAGATACCTGATACTGCCTTGGTGCTCACTTATAACTCTGGATGCTAATATGCGGACTGTCTCGATTTTTCCTTGGAATGAGCTATCCTAACCACACCAAGATACTGAGTGTTTTAACCTAACTATATAATTAAGTTTACAAAGCACAGATCAATTAAGTACAGTATTTCTACTTTTAATTCAGCAGGATCTCACCATTGTTGTTTTCCCCTGTCTTCTCTTTTTCTTCCAGAGCCATTTTTCCATCATTCTTCCCACCACTAACCTTATGTAAACTATCATTCTCACCACTACCCGTATTTCATTGACCATTCCCATCACTAAACTTTATCCCATTGAATTTATTCCAAAGAGTATTCCTACCATGAAGATTACATCACTAGGAACAGTTTTAGTGTCACCTCCTTTATAAACAAATTCTTGTTAACCCCTTGTGCACGGCTTCCCTCTGAGCTGAATTAAATTGTCTGGCATTGGCCATGTAAAATATTAAAAGTAGCGTCCCCATAATGAAGGTGTTAAAACATTCAAGATTATTTATATTTTAAGAGCAACTCCTAGACTGTATACTCTTCTGCAGCAATAAAAATATGTAAGTATGTGAGATTGAGTAGAATATGTGGCACAAAAGAGGATAGTGAGCTGACAGATAACTTTAGGAGACGATGTATATACCCACCTACAGTCCTCTGATTCACCTTTATTCCATTCAGATTGAGAGAGAACATTATGGAGATCTAAATAACAGCATGCTGATTATCTTGAGGTACACATGTGTTAAACAGGTGCTGCATCCTGATCCAAATCATGCCATAACTTGACTTTGTTTCTTATTCTAATAAAACCATTAATATTAGGATGAAGAAATCCAAAGTACTAACTTTTTAGGACTCGACCTAAGAGAGTACTTGTATCACCTGAAGATTAGCCCCCTGAAGCTAATTTCACCTAATGATTTAAACACCTTAATGCTACCTGGGGGTTAAGTTAGGATGGATTAGGTTAAGTTAATTAATCTTGGGGTGAAATAAACTGGGGGCTAATCTTCAGGTGACTTAAATATTTTCTACACTGCCTGCAACAAACTCAGAATAAAGTTCCCCTGAAGACACCTGAATTTCCCCATTTAAGTCAGACCCACGAACACTACTCAAACCTTGGACTTAGGGCAGAAGGGAACTCTGAGAAATTAGCCAATTCATGAATGAAATTTTACCATCCGTAAATAAAAAAAATATTATGTACAAATATCATGGTAGGTTAAGAATCTATTTAATTATTATTTTTTTTAACTTCACTAATCTAAAGCTTACTAGATTTTATATATATATATATATATATATATATATATATATATATATATATATATATATATATATATATATATATATATATATATATATATATATATATATATATATATATATATATATATATACACACTTCATTTTTAGTCCATATAACATGCAGACTATGAACATATAAACAACAGCCTCACCAGCCAGGTCTCGAACAAAAATGTTTTAAAAGATAATGAAGCTTACGTACACAACAAACAAAGACCACTGGACACCGATTTACAAAAAAAAATAAAAATCCTTACCTTTCCTCATTATGGAGTCTTGTACACCAGTCGACGATATATTTAACGTCTTCATCTTCGATCTTCAAGAAACTTTGAGGTCGCACTCCCTAGAGATACAATATACAGTACTCATTACCATACTGTATTCAAAACTCTAATTATACACACATCCACAATAGAGTCAGTAGGGATATGTACTATATTTACATTTTACAAGCACACTTAAGGAAAGATTTCATGATTTATTCCATCACATGCAAACCCACACTTCAACTCTTCATTACCTTCTTCAAGATAACAGTAATACTTATATCTTTTCTATGCAACTCTCATGCTTTATTATCTAACCATTTATCATAAAATTCCTGACTCAAGTATAAATTACTGGTGAACATCAACTGAGCAGATGCAAACCCGATCACAAACTGTTACCATGGCAATGTTGATAAAGAACAATGCTTTCTTTAATGTTTGAGAAACACTATGGACAGTAGAATCACAGATATCTGGTATTTCAGGTAACCAGTAGATTCAACTAACCGACACCAAAATGAAACAATAATAATAAAAACAAAAATTCCTCCAAAATCAGCTAGGATCCTAAGTTCGAATACCACATGCAACAGGGATGAGCTGCCATATTTTTTGCGATAACAATAAAATTGATACATAGTGTAACATGAAATACAATAGCACATATTCTATGTACAAAAAATTGCTCCTTCCACACTCAAACTATCCTCTGGGCAATGTAACACACAGTTAACTAGCTGACACACAGACTTGTGGCTACCGCGCTATCTGTGTGTATGCCGTGACGTCACATCAGGAGGGATTATAACCCAGTAACCCACCACCTCAACACACATTTGCTTCCCACATATAAGACGTAAACACCCATGCTCTTCATTTTTCTTATTTTATAGTTTTATAATATATTTTCTCTATTTCTAAGCCATATTGTTTATACTGTATAGAGTAATTTTGGAGTAAATTGCTCCAAAAGTTTTGTGTGGGTCTCCTCATAAGTTATTCATACCAAGTTTGGTAGAAATCCACAAACAATCTTGAGAAACTACTTTTTAAAGCACTGTGTAAGTCAACATTCAATATCCTGTGTTCAGACCTTAAACCTCTTGACCCACAGTATTATTCTTCACTACTCATTAAACTGTCATACAAATAGTATAAAGTACCGAATAATTACAGACACTAAAATCATACATTGTATTCTCATATGTTAAGCACTAAAGCCTCCATCACTTTATTGACATTCTTTTACCAGTCAAGTGTGCCATTTATCCACACATTCACACCGAGTAATACATATACTATACTGAACTTGTGTCATTCACTCTGAGGATGTAAACCAAATAATTTTATTCCTAAATACAAAGATCCAGCAACCAAATTTCTTTCTCTTTTCTTGAAAATTAAGAGACGAGATAACAAAAAAACAGAGGTGGTTGCTCCTCCTTCAGTGCCTCCAACCATGTACAGATGGCTAAAATGATGCCAAGGCTCACTGTACTCCAAAAATTACCAGGTTCAAATCACCACATAACTTTGCCTTGAAGGTTATATTTCTCTTCACTCTGTGGCCAACTAGGGAAGGTAAACGTAACTGTGTGGCAAAACATCATCATCTGTACAGTAAAAAACTAAAGTTCAAGGGGTGAGGTTTCTCTTGATTACGACAAAATCAAATTCACTAAAGTTTATTTACATAAACCCGAGAGAAAGAAAAGATGTTCTGCTCTGAGGATTCTTACACAATCCATACACAAAAACATTTTTGAAGAATAATTAAACAATATTAAAATCCTTAAAATACATTGTACTAGATGATCATACAACGTTAATACATAAATTCAGCAAATGCCACTACACAATCACTTGCAGGCAGCTAGCCAACAACCCAAGGCTGGTGTCAGGTGGTGGTACGACTTGGCATTCCTTCCTATGAAGGAAGGAAGGAAGTTTTGTTTGTTGCATGTCTTACAAGATCTTAACCTTCTTATACACTGCTAAGGCAGATTTGACAGAGGCACTTTGTGAATGGAAATAAATTTGTAAAAATAATATCATACAAACACCTCAAAAACAACCTGAAGACTAATTGTGTGTTTACAAGAAAAGTGAGCTAGTGCTGGTCAATACTAGTGCTATGATTTGGTGGCTGCCTGTGAGGTTGGGCCAAAACAATAATGGCCACTCCATCTGTTTAATGTTTGTAGTACTTTGATAAATATTACATATCTGGTGGAATTATCACTATTGTCTTCTTAACTACCATTTTACATACGTATAATGGCGAACTAATAATTAAATCCCCAAGAACGTGTTAATTTTGTCCCAATCAAAGTAACACTTCTGATACATCAACTTACAACTTGTAAATTATCAGGCTGTGATGGGGTAGGCACTGTATACTGTACAGCCCTTATGGTTCCAATATTTATGAGTCAATTGGGTTTTTATGAAAAGCCGTCGGCGCTATGATCATAATGTACTTGTAGTGCTGACTCACACCAGATATTTGCCATACACTGTCTACTAAATGGAGACAAAATAGCTACTCTCTCACAATATTTACTTCACTTTGATACACAAAATATTTTAACATCGATGTTTTCCAAAACTCAAAGAACTCCCCGACTGTGAAGAACCACTGCAGACTGAATGTAAACAAAGGCTCACTGTTTTTGCACATCAATGGCATCTGGATTTCTTTGTGTGAAACCATTTTAGAGCATTGTGCATAGCACTCAGTATTGCTATAGGACAGTGGAAAACTCACATAACATCCATTTTGTTATGAAAGGTGACACTTAAGTGGATAATCCATCACATCATTCACTCAGGTTAGCTTACTCTATTGTTTCAACTGTCAAAGGTTTTCTTCTATTTTGTGGAAGCTACATAAATTATCTTCTGTCTTTCTGACACTTTTTAACAATAATCCTCACTATAAAAAATTGATCCATACAGCCACTTTCCTCCATTAAGCCATCCTGGTACTCTCTCACTCAGCAGCCAGTCATCTACATAATTCTTTAAATTACAATTCCACCACACACCTTTATGCCTTAAAAATCTTCAATAGTCAAAAGGTTAAGTACTGTACTCTTGACACACACTCCTTACACAATGGTAAAATATTTATTTAGATTCAATTTCAGTCCAAACTCTCATTGTAAGCTTCAACAGGAACAGGTATTATATGAATACACTTACAAATTTCTCTTATCACTTGACCTCACCTTAATGCCATATCCAATTTCACCTATTGTACAATCTTACAGACTTCAATATATTCTCAATAAACTCAAAAAATTTCATTTCAAAACAGTGTTAACATCTATTATACAATTTCCTCAAGTCAGCAGAAACTATACATCCTAGCCTAGATTACTCATACAGTACAGTAATTAAAAAAATCAAGAATTACACAAAATGATTTCAGACTGTAAAATATCAATTCAATCAATACGGTAACAAAAACTATTTCTTAATATTTGAAAGACGTGTTTACTAACCGTGGTAACCTTCTTGTAGATCTGAGCTGGACCAGAACATTCTTTATATGGGTATTCTAAAGTTGCCATCTCCATCATGCACATACCAAAGGCATACACATCAACCATCTCATCATAGTGCTCCTCATACACCTCCGGAGCCATGAACTCTGGAGTGCCTGAAACACAGAGGAACAATACAGTTACTATATGGTGCAGTACTAGTCAAAGGAGCACTACAGTATCCTTCAGTCTGCTACTTTGCCCCTTTTCTAACATGATACACCCAAGACTTATCAAAATATCCATACAGTAGAATATTCATGTTTCCAAACTACTCAAATCCTAAATACAGCTTTTTCCTGACTCAGAAATCCCAATGGATGGTTGCAGAGGTATTCTTTAGTATTAAAATTACTGATAGGTTCCAAAGTTAGCCTCTGTCCAATATTTGTCCCAGCTCAAACATTTTATTACTCTCTACCTCCCCTAAAATTTTCCCCAATCTAAGAGTTCACAAGTCTTCTTTAGTTTTTCTTATTGTAATCACATGTTATACTCTCTCCTTAACCCCTTGTGTAATTATTGTGGCATGAAGACAGTGCTATGTATAACAAGAGGGGATACTGACGGGTGTCAGAAGTAATGATTAAGATATTAACAATGACAGATACTGAAAAACTTATGAATTTTGAGTCAAGAAATGGAGAGATTTATTCTACTGTACTGTACTGTACTTGGTTGTCAATGTCAGCCCTCTTATCTAAAAGTCATGTTATAATTTCATTCTTTTCAATTATTTCTTATTCAGTAATGCATCACCCATGAAATCATTCTTAATTGCATTAACAAAGGAACAATGTAATTTTAATATAAACCAAAATACCCATTATCAAGTTCATAATCATACAGCATTAATATATGTACTGTACTTGAGTGGGATATTATTAATTTTCTTCAACAGGCTATGGAGATATTGTTACCACAGAAAACAAATACGTATAAGTGAACTACATAATGTAGTCTGATACTGAAGGGTAAAGTAGGTTATTCGACATCATGAAAGTATAACGGGAAACTCAACAAGGGCCTTTTAATAATGGTGACATAAGGTACTGATAATAGCCCCCCAAAATTGAACACTGATAGCAGAAAAATAATAAAGGCAAACTGCAATGGCATTTTATTGGTGAAGTAAATGGCAAAACAATTACTTTAATGGGAAATTGAAAAGTTCACATGCATGACTTTTATGGATTATATTTTGTAGCATAAACCAAAGATATAACTGATTAAAATGGACTGAGTGAATAAGAGAATACAGTATGTTTGTGAGGATAATGCAGGAAATAAATAACACTAACCAACCAAACAGTAATACCAGGAAGCAAAAGTATTTTCACTGCACAAATGTTGTTAATGATACTAAACTTTATCAAATTTCATAACTTACCAATTACAGATTTGGCACAAGATCTATTTTTAAGCGTGGCGAGTCCAAGGTCTCCAATTTTTACCGAGCCTGTTGTCCCTGTGACAAAGATGTTATCACACTTGAGATCTCGATGTATGATGGGAGGACACCGTGAGTGAAGAAACTGCAATCCTTTAAGAATTTGCCGGCACCAACTCTTCAGCACTTTGAGGTTAACTTTTCGCAGACGACGCAGATATCTGAAGAAAAGAAAAATAAACAATCAGACCTTCAAAATATATACGGACTACTCCATCTGAAGAACACTTAATTTTTCGACATTCAAACAGCCATTAGAGGCTTAAGACAAACATATTCCGCTTAATCTACCTTTAAAAAATCTTTACCGTCAGTCCACCAGCTTGATAAGTGTACAGTTTCCTCCTACCTCCTCTTATCATTTCTCAACTTGGTAAATTCCTCCACAGTGAAGTTCCTCTTATATACATACTGCCTCACTCTTAACCTTCTAGCTATTCACAACATTCAGCTACATTCTATTCATCGTCCTGAATTCAATGATTCTCTCCACATCACATAAATACTCTTAATTGTTTCTTAAAATTTCTCTTCTCTCTACAAAACATTTTAATTTCCCATCTTAACTCTCACTTCTTCCATCTCATAAACAGCTTTCTTAATCCATTTCCATTCCCTATACTCCCTCTGTCAGTATCACTTTACACTCCCATGCTTAACTGTTAAAGAGAAGAGTAAAGCAAACTGCTATCTCCAACAAATTTTACACTCTCAAGCAAATTTCCACTCCACCTTATTATTTTCTGGGCAACTGCATTTTCTTTTTGAGACTCGCTGACATCTAACCATTCATTCCTTCCTTCACTCTTACTAAAAAAAAGAACCGTACTTAAATATTCAACACTTTCTAGCTTTTCTCTATCCAACCATATCTCGCACTCCTTCACTCCATCTTCTTACCAACACTGTAAAAATCCTATGCAATGTCCTGTTGTCTCATGCTTTAAAATCCCCATCTTCCTTTTCATTACATTCTTTTCCAGACTTACACTCACGTTACTTAGTGTCTTTCTCTCTAATAAAAGGTTGCCAAGTGATATCTACAACTATACATATATAACATGGTGACCAATACTCAATTTCAGTACTGTACTTTCAATTTAGTTATCAATCACACTCAAACAACAATAAGAGCATTCAATATTTGTTTATTACAAGATAAATGAAGTACTGTACTGTAATTCAAAATTTTCAAGTTATGTGGATGTTTCATTACTATTGCCTTTGCTCATTAAGTTACCTTATCAGGCCAGATTTCTATCTATAAACACACTTCCACTTTCCTTTACAATGGGGCTCCACAGTGTAAAGAATTATTGAGTCATTCTCTCAAATTCACCTTGTGTATACAGTATTACAAGTCTAATGTACAAGTTACTGATTTCATCCACCCCATATTTTCTCCCTCTCATCTTCAATCATTACTTTAAACATTGTAAATCTGTAGTGGATCCCAAAGGCCAGTGTAGATACAGCACACCAATGTTAAGCCTCACTATTCAGTACTGTACAAGGAGACATATCGCCAGGACTGAACTCAACTGCCTCCACCTCCACCTCCCGAGCTAAAGTCCGGTATCCATCCACAACAGTGTCTACAGGGGGTGTCCCAGGCGTGAACCAACAACCCTATTGGGGGAGCATCCACTTTGCCACTGCACACAAATACTTCATTAAAATTATATGATTATCAAAAAATATATAAAGCTATTCACAAAAAAGTTACCTGAATAATTTGTTTTCCTTGATTTGTTTTATTTATATTGCCTCAAGGTTTTCACTAAACATTAATGTAAGATACTCCAAGGCCATAACAAGATAAATCAGGTAGAAATGACCATCCTTTAATCGAAGATATTTAATGAATTCTAACTGCATATCTAAGTTAACTTAATGAGCTCCCAATACACTGTACCACTAAAACTGCCTTGAAGACAACAACAATCATTAACATAGTTTTTTAATTTACTCTGCTCGTTTGTCGTCTCCTCATCACCATCATCATCAATGTTAATTTATGGTAAATTGTTCAAAATAACAATTCTTCAAAGAGCAAATCTTGAAAAATTAATTCTTCGAAACATGCATTTGCTAACATTTCATTTTCACTACATCATTGGCACTACAATGTTCATCACAATGTTCATACATCATACACCAATGGCAGTATAATGTCACAATTAGGTCAAGTGACAGCACCCTGTAATGTCAATGACCTCGACATTACACGAGGTAAAATGACGTCACTGTGTATCAGGACGCAAAAAAATCTGATAAGGTGACCTCCCTGCACACTGCCAAGTCACTTTGCCAACACTGCTGGGGATGGCTGAATAATCTGAAACGTCCAGAGAAGTGTGTTTGGACGTGCCCTCAACTGACCATTAGTCATTGTAACTGGTATTCCAGAATGCTAAGTTTTGTAGAGGGCAAGAAAGGCAGACATAAGTCATGTGTGAGTGGAAATTTATTTGTTAAAGATAAAAGTAAAGGTAAGGTTTAAAGGAAATGTGAGCAATTTAGTAAAAATGCAAAGGTCATGTGATAACAGTTGGTGATAATATTATTCAAGAGTGTAGTGAGCACAAAGATTCTGGGGATACTGCTGATATTGAAGCTAAGGATGTAATGCACAGCAAATGAAATAATGCAAAGAATACAAGAGAAGCACTGCAATATACTGCAGTGTTTCTCTTGTATTCTTTGCATTATATTGCAACATATTGCAATATATTGTTTGTACAGTACAAGAAGGAACCTACAGTTACTGCACTTGAAATGATAAATGCAATTAACATTGAATTTCCATGTACAGTTAACTGTACTAGTTGCTTTGTCCATTTTTGACTGTTTATTTATGGTAAAATTTGTGGAAATGGCCTCATGCATAGGAGGAAGATGCAGACTTTACTTTAAAGACATGCAGGCTCTCAGCAGCAGCATTTGTTCTTACAGAAAATGCTGCAGAGATGTTCAACTTTTTCATGGATGAAAAAATTTTCTACCTGAAGCTCAGCCTGTGGTTGATTATTTTTAAGATACTGTATAGTACAGGTACTTGGATTGGAAGTCCTGACTGAAGACAACACTACCAACCACCAGTATGAGCCTGAGATGTGAAACTGCTATGAAGGCATGCAGCAAAAAGCACTCCTAAAAACTGTGATTTTTCCCTACATTCATCTCTTATCCTTCATCCTCTAAAACTGATCAGCTTTTCCAAGTCATGATCATCCATCTTCTCGGAGAATACTGTTTCACACTTTGAGAAAATGCACTGCACCACACCACACCCACACGCACGGACACACACACAAGTACTAAAAGCATCATATGTGTATGGAATAGAAGTCACAACCATTTAATGACCTAATTGAGGAACAAAGCAAACATAACTCCAATGAGCTCTATTCATTAGTCTTTTATTTACATTTCTTGAGCTTATACAGTACAGTACTGTATACAGGTATTTAAAATCCCATATCATGGCTGAGGAGATGAGTAATCTGAGAGACAAGCACTGATAAGCACCCCATGGAGACGAGGGTGGTAGTACAAACATCATGTATGGCTCGACAGCACAGACATTATTCATGAAGTACAGTGTTTTGCTACATTGGCAGACACCAGTGATGATTTGGGTCAGGAGTTTTTGACACATAAACTCACCCACTTCAGTATCCTACTTGACCACAAGAAAGTCTCAACCAACTTCTGAATTCCTTGCTGATTTACGATTATAAATTTTGAGGGGAAGAGAGGAATCCAGGTCACTTGTTCTTCTCCTTAGGTGCAAAAAAGGATGCCATACCTCATTTTCAAGACAAGTTAGTGGGGATGTGTATACTCTAAAGTATGAACCCACACCAAAAAGCATTCATACAGTGTTTACTTCCCTGGAACCTAATTCAGGAGTACAGCAATGGAAACAAACAACACTCATTTTGTATGATGAAAGATTAAATATTAAACATAAAGCTGTCCACAGAATTTGCTTTGGGAGTGTAATCAGTGTGGCGAGTCCTGGAGTTGGGCCTTGATTTCCCATGTGGTCAGGTTAAGTTGGGTTTCAAAGTACAGTATTAAATCCTTTGAGTTTGAGATTCCTGATATAAATTTTCATTGATTAATGAGAACAATCAGATCCAGATCTGAATTGAAATTTGTCTACATGAGAAATACACACTGCAGCAAAACATTGTCTGCCCAGTTCTCCAGCATGGCATGTCTTCTGGGCACTGGTAGGCACTGTCCTGGGGTTGCTTAGGCTATAAAACAGTATCTATATATTGAATAACTGCAATGACTATGATATATATTCAAAAGAAAATTTGTGTTTAGTCAGTCATTTTAAATAGGTTCAAGAGACTGAGAGACTGCATTAATGGCAGTTTAAATGAAGCATCCCATAATACTCTATCTGTATACCGTACTGTTAATGTGGAGAGCGTAGTAATTCGAGATGGTAAAGGTGAAAAGGTACTGTAAAATTATAAAATTGGACTCCCGTCAAAAGATTTTTTTGTTGACTAATAAAGGTACTTAATGGAAATAGACCTTAACAACAATTCTTGAAGCACAGAAAGATGTAGTGAAAAAAGAGTGCAAGGAGTGTGTTTGTAAACAAGGCAGCGAGACTAATTACTGTACAGTATCGTATATAGTGCAGCTAATGTGGACACACAGGTGTACAGCGGTGGTAACGGTATTGTCTGTTGTCTTACTCTGCAATAACTGCTATTGATTTTGTGTTTAGACTGTATTAATAATTAAAGATCTCACTATTCGTCATTACTTAAAAATATGATACAATTTGACCCTTTTCTAGTGTTGCAACAAGTGAGGGCAGCACTGCAGCATCACCATCATCCAAGTGAAAATTATGAGTGGTAAGAGAGAACCCTGCCACCTACAGAACACTGTACAGGTGTAGCACTTACTGCTTCAGAGTGCCCGATGTCATGAGCTCAGTGACAAGGACAATACATCGGCGCTTGGCACTGGGCACTTCCCAATAGTCATAGAATCGTACAATGTTGGGATGCTGTAGACCCTTCAGCATCTCTGCCTCCTCTCGAAATCTTAGTCTTTCGTTCTTGTTCCATTTTCTCTCCTGAAAAAAACAACAGTTGTAGTCATGACAATACTTTACTTATCTTCTTCTACATTATTGTAAGTCTAAAAATCCCTTACAAATAGATATACAGCAGCATGAAAAGAATACTAATACTGTATCACACTGAAATATTCACCTACATCAACAATATAGAATGTGTTCAGTATAAGGTACAGTACAGCACCTGCACACACACACACACATATATATAAACTTGGGAAATTGTTTAAAATATTAAAAAAAATTGCCTTTTTAATATCATTAGAAGAATTATACTGAATTCTTATCATGTCATAATTTCAACAGACACAATGTAACACAACAGTCAAACATGTGGCTCATCTGTCTCCTGGTACCGTATGTTCTCTTTAACTAAACTACTCAAACTGAGACTCCCCATACAGTATGTGGGTAAGCATTAATCAGGGACTTTACGAAAACCATTCAAGGAACTGATAAAATCTATCTTAGGTGTGGTGAGACTTACCTAGAGACCTATTTACTATCACTAAGGACATCTTTAGAATCACTGACAATACTGGTGACCAAGCTGGGAGGTAATAAAATATTAGCAGTAAAGACTGACACTGCTGTAAGTAGTGTGTGTGTCACAACACCTGTTTGTCACCACAAAGAAGTGGCACAAGTGTCCATGGTGGGGAAGGAGTGGGGAAGGTCACACTGAGAGAGGAATGCCACACCACCAATGGAAGACACAGGTGTTTGTGGTGCTGGTGGAGTGAATGTGTGGGGGAGGAGCAGAGGGGTTAGTAATATTGTATCTCATACATGGTGGCACCTCACTCTCTCTACCCCTCCCTATCCCTTCGCTCTCTCGTTCTCTAGGCGAATTCCTATTACCCTGTGCTATATACCCCCATAGAGGCGGCCCCCAAAGCACAAACAAGAGGACCATACCCACTTGTCACGGCTGCGTGAGAGAAAGCAGGTGCAGCAGGTGCAGGGCAAAGCAGTTGAGTTACATGACCTTTCTCAACCCACAGTTGGTCGCCCCCCCTGCCTGGCTCCCCATCACACCCCACTCTGCCTGGCTCCCCATCACGCCCCACTCTGCCTGGCTCCCCATCACACCCCACTCTGCCTGGCTCCCCATCACACCCCACTCTGCCTGGCTCCCCACCACACCCCACTCTGCCTGGCTCCCCACCACACCCACTCTGCCTGGCTCCCCATCACGCCCCTCTGCCTGGCTCCCCATCACACCCGACTCTGCCTGGCTCCCCACCACCCCCCACTCTGCCTGGCTCCCCACCACACCCCACTCTGCCTGGCTCCCCACCACACCCCACTCTGCCTGGCTCCCCACCACACCCCACTCTGCCTGGCTCCCCATCACACCCCACTCTGCCTGGCCGTCTTTCTACACCACTGTTTAAGCCATGTAAATTACACTCCCAGAATCCACATACCTGACCACTGGATAAATTGACACCTGGACACAAGATCACACCAGGTAAGTAAGAGAAGGAGAATAGCCCTCATCTGAAGATTAATTAAGACACCTTACTTATGTTACCTGATGATAGAACTGGCTTATGGTAGCTGGAGGGTTGGGTTAGGTTAATGGTGGTTAATTTATAAGATGAAAGAAGCTGTGGGTGTCTAATCTTCAGGTGATCAACTTTTCAATTCAACAATAAACAACAAAAAAGTTGGCAGGTGCAAAAAAATCATGAAAGGAACAATCTTTCTTAGTACAGGTGTGTGTGTTATATATATTTCAGACCAATTACTACCAGGTCAAGTGTACCGGAGTCTCGCTAGTAAATATGTGGGAAGGAGCAGAGGGTTAGGTATACTCACTGCCTTCATTTCAGACAGCCCCACGTGGATATGGTGATAAGGGGATCAATATGTCAACAACTCAGGGGGAGGGGGAGGGTGGGAAGGGACATAGTATAACCACAGGTAAGGTTCCTATCCTGTGCGAGCATCCACCACCAGTCACACAACCTGGGTCTTACATAAAAAGTACGACATTAACGACCGTAAAATTTATGATGGACGTTTTCTTTCCACTAATTCCGTTAGATAGTATATTGTTCCCGATGTATGGGGAAGCAAAGGGGGGGTCTAATCTCCAGTATAATGTCACCTATAAGGCTCAGGAGTTCAGTGTATGTGTGTGGGGAGGGCAGGACACGCATAAGGCATAGAAGTTAAGTAAACAAAAGCCCAGTGTAATAAAGACGACGCCCACCAACACCAACTTTGCGGTAACGTCGGGACGGTCGGGATGACGCCATCAACACCACAGAAACAGCGAGGGTCAACAAGAACTCACGCTTGTATTTTTATCCTTTTTATCGAAAGGAAAGAACACCGGCAGCTTGTTTAATACCACCACACATTGTTCCTGATAAGTATGTCCTTCACGGGACCAATATGAGGAAACCTGTGATTGTTGGCTGTCACACTGAATGAAGCCTAATCCAACGGGACAGAGGGCGGGTTGGAAATACATAATTACCGTTAACCCTTAGAAAATTTAGTTACATGACATATAGCGACGTATGTTTTGAGAAGTCCCGAGACAAGTTGTTACAGATAGACGGAGAGGTGGAGACCAGTGGCGCCCTGTACAGCGAAGTCATAAAAACCCCTAAATTCCACCAACACCTGAACACGACTCCGCCCTGCCCCGTGACGTCACAATCGGAGTGTGTCCCTCCTCCCTGTATTAACTTCAGTTCTATTATTTGTAACCTTGATTTACTACTGCACATGACTGCACCCTCGTCAACACCATTCATTACCACACTCGACACCTAGCGATGTGTTAATAAACTTGTAATAAGACACAGATGACCGGGCTGATCGTAAGATGCCAGAAATTAAGCTTAAAAATCTAAACTAACAAGCTAAGGAGACATCATAAAACTTGTAATATTTGAATTTGTTTGACGCGGAATAACTTTTGCACATCCCGAATAAGTTATCAGGAAAGTGTAAATTGTTATAAGTATCCTAACTCCTGCTTACGCTGTGTTAAGATATCTGGAAGCATTCTTATACTCTCTCTTGAGTGTTGTTAAAACATTTAATACAAGTAAGTGTTTGGTAAGCGCTCACCCGAACACTGAGTAGTGTGTTAGCTGACGGTGTGACAATCAGACACTTTCACCCAGAGAATTACATCAATACCTGCCGCTGGCTTATATGACTCATCCACACACCTCTCTCTCTCTCTCTCTCACATATATATTTGAAACCACAACACTGCAGCCCTACACATAACCATTCCTTCATTATATACAGTAACTACCAAAAGAACATACCTCACTCTCCCATACATACATATACTGGCATCTAAAACAAACATTTACACACAAGGTCGATGAAACTGACTGATACTTCTCGGCAGGAGGAACGGGGGTGAATGTTTAGTCTCTGAACCATGTCGGTAACATTTCTACACCACGTCCTGAATCTCGTACACAACAACACACTTACCAAGATACTTATCTCTGTAACTAAATTCTTTCATTGTTAAGAAGTTTGGTACAAGATAGAACACAACAAACGAAGGGAGCTGAGGCTGTCAAATTTGCCCCCCCCCCACCCCAACAAAAAAATTAATAATAAATCGGGAGCATAAACACGAGTCACCCAAGCGGGGCTCAAGAGGTCTCCACATAAACGGAGCGCCACAGGAAGAGGTGAGTTAGTGAATGACGGACTGACCGAGTGAATGGGAAGCTCGAATCCTCAAAATATATACACACGAGAACACAATAAATCACAATATGGTTCCCAGTGTGCCGGACGGAATCCCTCGACACAAGGACTGCTGATATTCCATTCCGGGAAAACTGGTGTTTGTCCCCGGCCGTACACAATGGTCCTATTCAATGGTAGTGAAGGACTCTCTGTCTATGTCCTGCAGGAAGTGAAACTCCCCCCACACACCCCCCACTCTCTCACTATGACCTCATCACCTGTCATCCCCTTCCCCTCATTACCTGTCACTTCCCCCTCACCTGTCACCTCAATCTTTCACCAACTATCACCTCCCCCCGCACTACCTGTCACCCCCCTTCACTACCTGTCACCTTCCCCCCCTCACTATCTGACACATCCCCCCTCACTACCTGTCAACTTCCCTGCACCGCACTACCTGCCCCCCCTCCTCACTACCTGTCACCTCGCCCTCCACCTGTCATTACCCCCATATAGCTACCTAACACCTACCCTAAGCCAACATGTGTGCGCGATAAGGAAGGTGAGGTGCGGCAGTGTGAGGTAAGGAAGGTGAAGGTGAGGTGCGGCAGTGTAAGGAAGGTGAGGTGCGGCAGTGTGAGGTAAGGAAGGTGAGGTGCGGCAGTGTGGGGAAGTAGTCCGGTGGAGCCCCGGGTTGTGGCTGGGGCTACAGGAGGGTCGGCCTTGTCGGGGGTGTGGGAGGAGGGGAGGCGACCTTCCCGACGCCGCGCCGCTTCAGACAACCTTCAACCCAAACCCACTAAACGCTCTTCTCTCACCTAACCTAACCTGAATGACCAGCTTAAACGCCTACAATATAACGAATAACCATCTGTCTCACCCCCACCACCTGTCTCACCCCCACCACCTGTCTCGCCCCACCACCTGTCTCACCCCCACCACCAGGTCACGTGATTACCGGCTTCTCTCTCATACTCCCTACTCCCCTCATCCCCTCCTTCCTTCTCTCACCCTCTACTTCCCTCCCTCATATCCTCCTTCCCTCCTTCACCCCCCTTCTCCCCTTCACCCGTCACTCCACATTCCCTACTCCCCCTTCCTACCTTCCCGCTGTATCAACTTTCTCGACAAACTTGAAATAGATAAAATATGTCGATCGCCTGAAGATTAACCACCTTAAACCTAACCTAACCACCCAAACGCCAACCTAACCTCCAGCAAAGAGATCCATTCTGATATCATTACAAAACAGTAGTGCTAAGTACCGTAGTGGTGTATGTAAGTGACTTCATTCTGGCGGTAAATTACACACACAC